ATCCCCCTGGGTAGAGTGCCATGGCATCACAGCTCACAGCAACCTCCAACTCCTGGGCTCAAGCGATTCTCCTGCCTCAGCCTCCCAAGCAGCTGGGACCACAGGTGCCTGTCACAACACCCGGCTATTTTTTGGTTGCAGCCATCATTGTTGTTTGGTGGGTCCTGGCTGGATTCGAACCCGCCACCTCAGGTGTATGTGGCTGGCGCCTCAGCCAGTTGAGCCACAGGCACCGAGCCTGTTTTGTTTTTTAATACAGATGGAGTCTTGCTCTTATTCAGCCTAGTCTCCAACTCCTGAAGTCAAGCAATACACCTGCCTCAGCCTCCTAGAGTGCTAAGATTACAGGCGTGAGCCACTGTATCCAGCTCTATTTTTGCTTATGGTAATGACCTTAGACTTTTAAATGACTTATAAGTGACTGACTTAACTCACTTTATTTAAAATCATTAAAATAGCTTGGCACCCATAGCTCACTGGTTAGGGCACCAGTCACATACACTGGGGCTGGCGCGTTTGAACCCAGGCTGGGCCTGCTAAAAACAATGTCAACTACAACAACAACAAAAATAGCCAGGCACTGTGGTGGGCACCTGTAGTCCCAACTACTTGGGAGGCTGAGGCAAGAGAATTGCTTAAGCACATGAGTTTGAGGTTGCTGTGAACTGTGATGCCGTGGCATCACAGGGCAACATAGTGAGACTCTGTCTCAAAAAAAATTAATAAATTAAATAAAATCAGTAAAATGCGGCCAGGTGTGGTGGCTCATGCCTGTAATTCCAGCATTCTGGGAGACAGAGGCAGGTGAATAGCTTGAGCTCACAAGTTTGAGATCAGCCTGAGCAAAAGGAGACCCCCGTCTCTACTAAAAATAGAAACACTGAGGCAAAAGGATCTCTTAAGCCTAAGAATTGGAGGTTGCTGTGAGCTATGATGCCATAGCACTGTACCCAGGGCAACAGCTTGAGACTCTGTCTCAAAAAATAAATAAATCATTAAAAGAGGCTCAGCGCTTGTAGCACAGTGGTTAAGGCACCAGCCACAAACACCAACGCTGGCGGGTTCGAACCCAGCCCGGGCCAGCTAAATAGCAATGATAAGTACAACAAAAAAAATTGCTAGACGTTGTGGCAGGCGCCTGTAGTCCCAGCTGCTCGGGAGGCTGAGGCAAAAGAATCGCTTAAGCCCAAGAGTTTGAGGTTCCTCCTCTCAGCTGAGATTGCCACATCATTCTACCAAGGGTGACAAAGTGAGACTCTGTCTCAAAAAAAAAAAAAAAAATGTTAATGATAAATCATACCCTAAAATTTTCTCACTTAGATAATTTACAATACAGTCGTCCTTAGAGATTAAAACAACAATTTAAAGATTAATAGTAGTTTGGTGTGGTGGCTCTCACTTATAATCCTAGCACTTTGGGAGGGTGAGACAGGATTATTTGAGGTCAAGAGTTCAAGAGGTCAAGAGCAAGAGACCCTGTCTCTACCAAAATAGAAAAATTTAGGAGGGCATAGTGGCTACTCAGGAGGCTGAAGCCCAGGAGGACTGGTGGAGCCCAGAAGTGTGAGGTTACAGTGAGCTATGATGATGTCCCTCCACTCTAGCCAGTGCAACATGCAAACAAGTACCTCAAAAAAGAAAAAAAGGGTGGCGCCTGTGGCTCAGTAGGTAGGGCGCCGGCCCCATATACCGAGGGTGGTGGGTTCAAACCTGGCCC